CATCAGTGCTGGAAGCAATATCCGGACCTGCCAAAGTACCCTATTCCGACGGGGAAGGTGCACTGAACAACGACACCTCAAAAGCAGACCTGAAGGCAAAAGGCATTGAGCTGGGGATACGTGCGCTTGGACACCGCGCTACGACCACTGAAGCCAGGAATGGCATACTACAACACCTACTTCACGCCATGGAGGCTGAATTCAACAGGTTAGACATACCTCTTTTGTTCACCCGTCTACTGTTCGAAGCCTTGTTTGCCGCCAGTGCGTCTACCTTTTACAACGAAGTATCTCCATGCAACGCGCTGTTTGGCTGGCAGACGGCGATGCTACCCGACTAGCCTGTTCTGGACCACGAACAGCAGACAGACACATCCGACCATTCTCGAGAACAGATTATCCGCCGGGTAAGCATTCAAGTTGTTACTCAAGCCATTGCAGTTGCAAAAACGAGCCGTGCAATGCGGACCAAGACTACCATCATTGGTCAGCAATGCCATGACGAAGAAGATCTGGTTGATTAGCATCGTCCCGCGACTACAAAGGACGACGGGGGTGGCTGGAATGGACCCTTCCCGGTCGCGCGGAATGATCCCGACAGGGGTCATGTCATTTTGGGCGTGGGAAACCGCGATGTACAAGCCCAGCGCGGCGATGCGCGACATTCGCTATACATTGAAGCTTTGATCGCTCGGGAGATTGGCTCGGGCAACGCGCGTTGCGGACTGCGTTGGCACTCGTGGCCAGTCTACTTGCGGTTCGACCTGCTGTGACATTTGGTTACCTCCCCACAAAACAGGAAGTGCTCCAGATGGCGAGAGCAAGCCGACTATCTCCTAAAGCACACTTACCTCTTCAGTACCTCATCAGGAACTTCTGTCGTATCGAGAATGTAGTCTCTGTCAGGTTGGCTAAGAGCATTCACGAGTTACCTCTGGTGATTGATGCTGACAGTTGTGCGCTCTGACAGCGACGTGGACCCTGGCTTCCATTACTACAAAGCCGCAGGCGCTGCCCTAAACATACATGAAATAAGTGAACCCGCGCATGCTAGGATTAGCCAGTGCCTGAAGTCCACCAAACGTCAAGCGGGCTTCGGCCAAGACATGACGACGCTCGAAAAATCTGCCGACATACCAGTGCAAGGCAACGGCGCCAGGGAGGCCCCAGAAGTCGAACCACCACAGAACGACGGACGGCTACCCACTATCTATCAGGAGTCAGAGGCAGACCTCGAGGAATACATTATGGAGGTGTGGTACGCAGAACTGCAAGACGAAAGGGAACTACTGGAGGCAATTCCAATAGACGGCCTCTGCACTGTACCCACACATATGATCACCGACAAAAGCGCGCTGTCGCAGTAGCTGAAGAACAGCGGGGCCACCTGCGCAACTACGTGGGGCAACCCGCAGGACACGCACAACGGAGACATATCATGTCGCATTGTGCTCCACGGACGAAGGCGACAGTTATGGATTGGACTCTTGACGAGCACGGACAATATGTAGAACTCTGCTTCGCGGCAGACATGCCAGCGGTAGTCCTATCCGAACAACGACGCATAATATTGGACTTCGACCGCGTGACCACTATGCGAGTATATGTGACCGCTGCAGCTAGCCGAACTGCAGTCGTCAAGGAGGACGACCTTCCCACGAAGGCTGATATCCAGGCGAAACCCGTCAGGGCGCCGAAGGCCCATTGCATTGAACCCACGGCATTGTTCGACAATGAGTTCTCCAAAATACAAGATATATCTAAAGCGTCAAACCGCATGACTTCGAGATGCTTGCATGCATGGAAAATCGTCAAGAACGAGATGGGCGAGATGGAACGTGAAATTCATACTACGCCTGGCACTTCGGGCTTTCCATGGACCTCGAAGCCTTCGGCGTGGAGACGTCCTCAGGAGCGGCGCGGCGGTTGAGTCAGCGACTACTTGCCAGCGCGGCAGCGTGCAAGAAGCAGTGGGTCATTGCTTCCCTTGACGTCAACATGGCTTTCCTGAGAGGACTCACTTATCCGGAGCTTGCTGAAGCAACCATTGAACAGGAACGCGCGGCGTGTTTTGCATTGCCACCTGGGCTAGCATCTGTGCTCAGATCCCCCCCCCCCCCAGGATTTGAGCATGCCGACGAGTCGAAGCACTGCCCGCAGCGCCTCAAACCAGGCACTGGCGCCCCAAGGATGCACTGAGAGCCATCTCGCTGAAGCTCAGAAACAGCACGAGAGGGTTTGGTCTCGAATCCACGTCCTACGCCGAGGAGTTCAAGACAAGCTCCAACCTTCTTACAACTGAGCATGGTGATGACATAACCATGGCCGGTGCTGAGACACTGTTGACAGGTACGTCAAGGGTGTAGATGATTGTTTTGGCAGATGTAAACTCAACAAACAGACATCTACTAACTGTGCTATGATGTCCACGAAGGACGGCGACGGTAATGTCGCACTTGGCCAAGACGAATATGTAAAACAGCTCCGTCCCATCCAACTTCACGCACTGACGGGCGCAGACGCTGAGGCCAAGGCCACGGCATCGAAGTTGGTCGCGGACACGTTCGTCAGCTCAGCGGCGCTTTGGCTTACGCCCTAATTACACAAGTGTGGCTAATGGTATCTGTTGTATCACTACAGCGCGTCCATGAACCGACCAGCGTGCAAGCGCGACGACTGAGCGCGATTGCCAGGAAATTGCAGGCCTGCCCAGAGAAGATCGTCTATCAAGTGATGACTTCGACGGGCGAGTTCGACCTGCACAGCGACTCCGGTTGCCGACATCTGAACGGAGATGACGATGACGAGGTCGAAGGTTATGGTATTCGCGGGGCAAACTTGCTTCGGCGTGGACACGCGCATGCTGGCAAGCCCGTCGCCCATATTGTCGACGCGCACTGCAAGTCTCATCGCTTGCAGGTCCGCTCGAACAGATCAGCGGAAACACTTGCAGCCGCCCTTTCTTGGAGGACTGCGATCCCACGATCGTTACTCTGCGCGAACGCCACGCAGGGCCGCCGACACCCACTCCTTTGAAAGACGTACTTGAGATGGGCAGCCTGAAGATTAAGGTCACCTTGACCATCGATGCAGAATATGTCTCCACGTCCTTGTCAAGCAAAGACCGGAAGACACCGACTGAGTATGTACTTCTGGGACAAATCAGTTGCATGCGACAGATGATGAAGCGAGGTATCGTGCATTGTGTACAGCGGTGCGACACCAAAGGGAGCATCGACAAAGACATGATCCCACAAGTCACGGGTACATGCCACGGGAGGAACGCAATCCTTCAAGCATGATCGCTGCCTGGCCAATGAACAATGTCGAGTCAGAGGAGGGGCGGGAGCAGGAGCTAACGACGCACTCCATACAGGGCTGGCCAGACAAAATCGTTTGAGGCGCCTGAGGAGGAGCCATCTGCAAGGCAACTTTCACGCTGGTCAACCTGTCTTGTTGAGCCCGCCTGCTGCTGCCTACCTTGCGCAATATAGTGTTTTGCTGTGCAGCTGGCGGCGGGCTCACGCTTCGTCCCCCCCCCGACTCTAAAGGAGGCTGGGGCAGAGGCGAGAGATAGCGAGCGCGTGTCCGCGGCCGTTTGTGCTCAAGCGGCCGGCCGCCAAGTCGCGAGGCGCACTACATGCCATTGAGACCGAGCACAGCTTCGCTTGACATGGCCCGTCGCTCCCGCAACGATCTCCGGCTCCTGGGACCTTCGCTACTACGGTGCAACAGAGTTGGATATGAGTTTCGCCTTAGGCGATGCGTATGGTTGGGCCTACCAGTCCCCTTCAAACTTTGCGGCCCCCAGCGGGGTCCTTGACCGTCGACCTGAGTCCTGCGAGTCCGAGCTCGAGGGGGTCGTCGGCCTGCCCCATGTGGACCGTGCGCGCGACTTTGATTTTGCGCTTCGGCTCCGCACGAGTCCCGACCAACTGCCTTTCAGCGTCATTGATAGCATTGATGAGCTCGTCGCGCTGTGCAGTGAAGCTGGGCACTCGCTGCTCGAGCCGTTCGACCTTCTTCTTATCGACTCTGTGCGGGGCTGTAATGGTCGAGGTCGGCTTGGCTTTTTGCTCCGTGATCTGCGTCTCCTGGACCTTGGGGATGGCCGCCTCGTCGATGTTGTACTGCTTGAGGAACTGCAAGACCTGACCGAATGACAGGTCCGACTGGGGCTGCTGCTGCGCACCTGGACAGGCAACGTTCCCGCCGCCACCGCCAACCTTCGAGCGCAGAGCAAAGAACTCCGCCTTGAGGTCCTTGATAGCCGCCGAATCTGCCTCTGGTGGACCGCGTGCCCATGCACCCTGAGGCCCTCGCTGGGAGGGAAGCTTGAGCTTCTGGGCGGCCGCCGCAGCAGACGAGGCGATGCGCTACGGGGCTGCTGACCCGCAGCCCTTGCACTTGAGCCTGCTGGCCCAGTTGCCGTCGGTCCCACATTGGCACCCCCACGTGGGGTACTTGGGCCTGGCAGCACATTTTGTGGGGGAGTGCCCATGAAGGAATCTTGGACACAACTTTCACGGAGGTTGGCTCGAAGGCACGACGCCAGTTCACGCGCTTGCAACATTCTCGAGTGCGAAATGGTTGAGGAGGGAGGAAGGGTGGGAAGGAGGGAGGGAGGAGGGAGAAGGAGGAAAGAGCAGGTGGTCAACTCCACAACTCCAGCCATTCGGCGATGTCTTCTTTTTTTTTCAATCCGCGGCCCTAGAGGTTTCCACTTTCTCTTCTTGGAGTATGGTTTTTATCGTCCGGGACCTCGAAATTTGCTCATTTATGCCGAAGCCGCGGAAACACTCCAGGAGTATCAACAAAAACATATCGTCGGCTGGGTCCAGGTCAGCTGTAACGACCACGTCGCCCTGGAAGTGTGCGCCAAGCGGGTCTCGAACGCCAGCGACTGCGGCGCCGAGGCGGTCCCAGACAGCCGGAGGGTGCTGCTGTTCGGCGAGGCATTGGCTCGCCAGCGCGCGAGGCAGTGGCTGCCGTTGGTGGCCATGCAGGAAGGTGAGCTCTCTGCTGGGCTCGAGGCTTGCGGTGTACGACGTTTTTGTCGGTTCTTGGACGTCCTTGGGATGCTCTCCAGCAGCTGCGCCTCGCCGAGAGCTTTCTGAGGGTGCTCGAATCGTCCTGAACGGCCGGTGGAAGTCCGAGCTGTGAATCGAAAGCCAGGCCTCGGCAATTCCCCTCAGCGAGGGCTAGTCATCCGAAAAAGTCATGCGACAACACGCGCCAGCACGCGACAAGGCTTGGAAAACACGCGCCACGCCCTGGTGAAGGCGTGAATTTGGGATCCGGTCCCTTAACCACTCAATCCCCGAAGGGACCTGAGGACACTTCAACTCGTGCCTCGAGGCACAGAGGCGGATATTGAACCACGTAGCTTGCACCTCATATATTGCACCACGTTTATTTCTTTCCACCCCCCCGCTGAGGCCGCGATCCGCGACAAACATCGGGGTGTGTTGTTGTGCCGTATTCGGTTTGCACGATCGTTCACCTTAAATGTCAGATGACATCGTCGTCGACCGACATCAATCCTCCGTCACCCCCTGCAACAACTACAATTATGTGCGCAATGTTTGATTCAGGACGCGCTTTTACAACAGCCGTCATCAGATAATATAATGCAGGCCACGCTTTAAGCGCCATAGGTTTAGCGCTGTACAACACCCCACGCGCCATAGGTTTTAAGCGTCTTTGCTCTCCGTTCCCTTCCCCCTCCTCCTCCTTCTCCTCCCCTTCCTCCTCCTCTTCCTCCTCCTCTTCCTCCTTCTCTTCCCCGTTACGGTCTTGAGCAACGTGGGATCCGCAGCGCGGCTGCTTTCTCTTTCAGGCTACTGTTCACAAACTGAGTTTGCCTATTGCAGGTCGGCTATTGTGGCGTTCCCTGTTTGCTTGGCGTACCTTTGTGTCGCTCTGCGCTGCCTGCCGCGAAGTGGGACACGTTGTGAAAAAATATAGGATGCAGGCCACGTGCGCGCGCCGCCGCGCACCAATGTCAAAATCATTCAACATCCATTGCTTGTCCCACAATTTCAAGGCATAGCCATCCAAACACTGCCAAGACCAGCTGTTCGCTCAACGGCAGTTGTCAGATTTCTGCTCGGGCGCACTCGGTGAAATCATGAGGAAACCAGACCAGGAATGTTCACCGACCTGCCTCATTGGAGCATGGGGGCCACTCGCGCGCATGTGGTAAACATTCAACACTCATCGCGCACCCGTCAACGGTGTCAAATACCACCACGCGCATGTTTTTTTTTCCCAAGCAGTTCAACACCGAGGTGGGCAAACCTACTTGTTTTCAATTGTCGGTTGCCATGGAATATGAGTACATGCGCGCGCAACCCGTCATCATCCTCATCATCACCATCGTTACCATCATCGCTAGATTCACCATTGCCATCGTCATCATCATCATCATCATCATCATCATCATCATCATCATCATCATCATCATCATCATCATCTTCATCTTCATCTTCATCTTCATCATCACCATTATCGTCATCGTCATCGTCGTCACCGCCGTCATTCTCATCATCGTCGATGCCGTCGCTCTCGTCATCATCTCCACCATCATCATCGTCATCGCTGTCGCCGTCGTCACTATCATTACTTGCCCGCCTGACGCGTTGATTTGCATGAACAGGGCCCGCGCGCCACTTCGCCGCTCGAGACGCCCGAGCAAGTTTTGATGATAACTGCGCTCGCTGTCTATCTTAATGTTTCGCGAACCAGTTGCGGGTGGGTGGGTTAGATGCTCACTCGAGCATGGGAAATGGCCGCGCGCGGCACATGCACACTTTATTTCAGCACGTAGGGCTCATCACATTACCTGCCCCACATGGACTTCACAACTTGTGTTGCGCCGTGCACGTTGCATCACATGGGTCACAGCCAGAACCTAATAATTCCCTTGGTGTGGTCCTCGCTGGCATAGATTTATGGGTTCACCTTTGTCAGGTGACCTCACGAAAGAGGTCTTACTCAGCGACCAGGATGTCCGCAATGCCATTGACAGCCAGTCGTTAGAGAAACCCGAAGCTGGCAAGCAAGGTTTGGATGCGAAGTATTTGTCCTGGATGGAGTCAGAGTACAAAGTTATCATGCTCTTTAGGGACGTGGTTACAAACCGCAAGTTCGAGTACGGCGAGCTAGTACAGGTCAAATTGGAGAAGGATGCATTTGATGCTGAGTATCTTCGCATGGTTGCTGGAAAGAGGCAGGTCAAGGTCAGGTATTACGAGGACCCAGAGACCAAAACGAACCCCAAGGAGTGCAATGCACCTGTGGAGAATGTCACGCCAAAAGACGATGCGAAGAGAGTCATGCACCTCATTATCCTCGGCGGTGACCCACTGAAGAGAAACGAAGCGACAGTTGACGCAGAGGCGAAAATCGACTTGGCCGTGCAGAGATTTCAGCCGAATCGATGGTGGGACCAACCGAAGTGGGAGGACAAGTCCGAGGGCAAATCCGACGGCAAGAAGGGCAAGAAGGGAGGTCGGAAGGGCAGACACCAGGAGCAGGTGTGCATTGCCTTCGAGCGGACGGGCTCTTGCAGATTCGGCGCTTCATGTCCGCATGCGCATGGTAGCACTGGAAAGGGCGGCAAGGGCGACTGGCAACGCGGCAGGGGCAACGCTGGCAAGGGTGGCAAGGGCGACGCCCGCTCGGGCCAGGGCAACGGCAACGTGTCTGGCCTGGCGGCCCAGAGTGGTGCTGGCGCTGTTGACCAGGGTGATCCGAGGGCTCGAAATTCTAGGCCTCATACCGGGGGCCAGAGCAGATGGGGTCGAAGGGTCGCGCCGCATCGCCGATACACAGGCGATGTGGCGCTCGCCAAACCGAAGTTCGACTTGTTTGGACCATTTTGCGGCCCCCTGGGCAAGTTTGGAGGTCTTTGGGGCTCTATTGGCGATATTTCTGGCATGTTTTGTATTCTTTTTGGAGGCCGTCGGGAACTTCCGGGGCCGATGCCACAAGCCATCAATCGAACTACGAGGCCTGAAAGTTCCCTACCCTGGCTGGAGCCAGGGCAATCGTCTCTTGCGGCGTTGTTGAAGCGCTCTTTGGCGCTTTTGTGGCTGCATTCGCGTCCCCGTATGGCTCCCTCTTTGGGCTCTCTTGGGCAATCTTGGAGCCATCTTGCGGGCTCAAATTCAGAGCGTGAATTACCTACCCCGCTTTCGCTTCCAGGCAAAACCAAGCCATACCACGCGCCTCCTCGTCAAGCGGCCTGACCAGTACAGGCTGCAATTTGGCATCGTTTGGTATCTCTTGGAAGCGAGGGTGGTCAAACGCGAGGTAGGTTTGTTTCCCCCCTACACATGCCCAACGGAAGTGGCTAGGCGAGAGTGCAGATTCCTTTCAGGACGCATACAGGTTGTTAAATGATTGTGGCATCTCGGGGGCCTCCTTGGGAGGCTTCGAGGCCACTTGGAGCTGTCTTGAGGCCGTCTTCTGACCTCTTTGAGGGAGCTGGATGCCAATGTGGGCAAGATTGTGCGATCTGGGAGGTCATCTCAAGGAATTTCGGACCATCTGGGAGCCAGTGTGGTACAAAGGCTTTCAAGTATGCCCTTGCAAAGCCAGAACCATCCATGAACCTTGATTGTGCATGAGTTTGCCATTCAGCGGCTAAATGTAACACTAGTACTCGTATCAGTCCTCCCCGACGGAGGCCGACATATCATTATTTGGGGCTCTTTTGGGCGCTCCTGGAACGCTCCTGGGGCTGCATTGGAGCCTATATGGGTCCCTCTTGGGTCCATCTTTGAGGCCCATCGGAAGCAAAAAGGTGAGAACGCCATCATGACTGCTTCTGTGGGCTCCTGAGGGGCACGGCGGAGGTGAGGGCAACGCAGATCACTTGGAGACCTCGCGGTTCCCTCGGGGGTTGCGAGCTGCGCAAGTGTCGCCAGTTTCGTTGTCTCCCGCAGCGCAGAGCATTTCGAGACCTCGCGGCTCCCTCGCGGCTGCGAACTGCGCCATTGTCGCCACTTTCGTGAGTTCCTGGGGGGCACGGCGGAGGTGAGGGCAGCGCAGATCACTTGGAGACCTCGCTGCACCGTCGGGGGCTGCGAGCTGCGCACTTGTTGCCATTTCGTGGGCTACCTGGGAGCACGGCGAAGTGCAGGGCAGCGCAAGTCGAGTATACATGGCGATGCGTTTTTTTTTTTTTGTATGTAGCATTTATACACATAGTGGCCTCATGTGGAGAACGTCTCGGGCAATCTTTGCCATGGATGATGGATGAGTGTTGGCATTATTCGCCGTCGGTCGCCAGTCAAGTCAGAAAGGGGTGTCTATTCTAGACGCGTTATTGAACCCCACCAGCCCATGCAACAACGATTCCCAGGCGAGTTGCGCTGACCAGGGATGTGGAATATCTTGGGCCGTTGTTCGGCGCTGTGAAAGCCTGAGAAGGGGATATGCTGACTATCTCTTTCTCTTTCTCTTTCTTTCTCTCTCCCTCTCTCGTTCTCTCTCTCTCTCTCTCTCTCTATATATATATATCTCTCACTACTCTCTCTATAGCTATATATATACACACCATGTTAATGTCAACGTGCCGCGTCTCGCATTCCGTCCTCACTTAATCCTGTTTGCCGTCACGACCGCCTCGTCCCTAGGACCAAGAGCATGAGAGGCCCTGGTGCCCCCCCCCCCCCCCCCCAAGCGAGGGGGCTAGTAGGAAAGGAAGCACAGATCTCAGCCAGCTAAGAATATGCCAGCCACTCTGCGGAAGGGGAGTTGGCTCCATTGTGCCACAGCTTGAATATAGGTCAGCAAGCTCTCACACAGTTATAGTTCATGGGCCTTCAAGTGGTCCAATCTCAGATGTTGGGCAGTCTTTCAAGCTATGTTTTTTTTACCGAGCGGTAAAACAAATAGCGAGACGTGGATAGCCCCCTCGCCACGGGGTAGACATCTGCCCCCCCCCTTCTCTTCTGCGGGCCCTCGCCCCTGGCGGAAAGCGTGGGGGCCCTGTCGGGGCCCCAGGGCCTCGGGACCCCGTGGGGGTCCAGGTCGAGGCCCCTTGAGGGCAACTTGTGTCATCGTGGCGGGGGCACCCCTTGGATACCCGCCCGATGATCTCGGCTAGCGAATCGGTCCGAGTGCCGTCGGTGGCCGTTGGCCCGAGGGGGTTGAGTCCAAGGCGACTCAGGTTCTGGACAACCCCCTGGTGGGATGGCAACAAAGAAGACAAGTGTAGGTAAAGAATGAGCTGACCCATCTATGAGTAGGCCCCGGGGGGGGGGGAAGGGAGGGGGTGGACAAACTCGGTGCCACTGTGTGGCATGGAAGGCAAAAGGGGCCCCCAAGGGAGCCAGCAAACACTACAGAGCTCCCAGCACGCCGACTATTGCTTCGAGACGGTTTACGTGGCTTCCAAGACGCCTCAAGAGAGCTTCCAGCTGATCCCCGAGAGAGGTTCCACGGCCAACAACTATTGACTTCCATATGGTTGTTCGACGACTTTTGTATGGTCGCCTGCTCCGCTGCCTGACGCCCAGAGTCGCCCAAGAGGGCCCCAATACACCCCAAGAAGGCGCCAAACCAGCCCAAGATGCGTTTAAACTCGCACCAGAGGGCTCCAGGCGGCGCCCCAAATCAGCTAGGACACGCCACAAGGGCACTAAGCGAAGCCCTCAGAGCCCCAAGACGGCCCCAGCACGCCAATATTTGCTCCGATGCGGGCTCAGGGAGCCTCTGAGGCGCACCAGAGGGCTTCAAGCTCATCCCCGAGACAGGCTCCAGGGGCGAAAATCGTTAATTCCCCGTGGGTTTTTCAGAAATTCTTATGTGGTCGCCTGCTCCGCTGCTCGATGCGCGGAGACGGCACACGAGGCGCCCAACAGGGCTCCACGACACACCAAGCGGGTGCCAAGACGGCCCACGAGGCGCCCAGAATCGCCCGAGAAGGCTCCAGGTGGCTCCCTAAGTGAGCTTAGACACGCCACACGGATCCTCAAGGAGGCCCACAGGTTTCCAAAAGCGGCCCAGCACGCCCACCTTCGTTGCGATGCGGTCTACGAGGCATCCAAGACGGCCCAAGAGGGTTATATATTGTTTTCCGCAACAACCCCCAATAGAGACAACTCATCGAATTTCCTAGGGTCTGTCATTGATTTTCTGGTGGTCGCCTGCTCCGTTTCCCGACGCTCGAAGAGGGCACACGAAGCGTGCACAGGGCCCCAACGCGCCCCAAGGCGGCGCCAAACCGGCCGCAGAGGCGCCCAAGAGCGCCTAAGAGCGCTGCAGGCGGCTCCCCAAATGAGCCTGGACACGCCAAGAGGGCCGTCAAGAAGGCCCGCAGGGTTCCCAAAACGGCCCCAGAACGCCCACCAAAGATTTCGACTAGACGTAAGAGTGACCTTTCGCCAGAGTGACCGTTAGTGCGGGCCCAATGGGGTCCCCCGATCCCCGAACGCGATGCGATAGTAGCCTCTTGCGCGCCTGGGTTTGGCCCGCTCGCGCCGCCCAAAAGCCGCGCACCAAAGGTCACTCTTGCCCAGGGTCACTCTTGCGTGTAGTGTGTAGTCGAAGGTTCACAGAAACCTCCACGAGGGCTCACACACGGGCGCGCTTCCAGGTTACCAATGAGCCTTTCGGGAATTTGAAAGCGCGCCTGTTATCGGAGCATTTGGGGCCTGGGAACAATGGCCTCGCACCCCCAGTTTAGGTTCCCCCCCCCCTGGGGCTTCTGGGCCGCTCCCCGGCCGCTCAGGACAGCCTTCGGGATGTTCCAGGAGCACCCAGGATGGCCGGCCTCCTGGTTCCAGACTGCCCAAGGGGCTGCCAAGAGCACCCGAAAGCGCTCCAAAGGCGCCCCAGTACCGCTCAAGAGAACCTCGCGGCGGCTCCAGAGGTTTCCAAGACGCCCTGAGCGTTCTTCGGGAGGCCTCCCAAGAGGGCCCTTAAGAGGCCCCCAAATCGCCCCACTCCTTACGGAAAATGAGAATCTGTAACACATTTACCATTTTGGTCTTCACAGCGTCCAAGACGGACCAACTGACCCTTTAAAGATCACCCCATGACTGCCACATGGGCCCCCAATGAGGCATCAAAGCTGCCCAAGTGAGGCTGAAGACCGCCCACGTGGCGCCCAAGACGGCCCAAGAGAGCCGACAGGGCATTTAGAGGGGCTCAAAGAGGAGGATTCGAATTCGCATTTCGTGCCCTCCACCCCAAGCGGGTCCTCGAGACCGTGAGCAGGCCCCTAAGAAGCCGCCAAGACGCCGCCAGGACGCCCAAAATAATGTCCAAGAGGCCCCCAAACGGCCCCTCAGAGGCCCACTGCTTCTAAGGCGGTCACCGAAGAGGCTTCGCAAGAAAGCCGAACATGCATCCAAGAGGCCTCTGACCCACAACCCAGGCACGGTGGCGGTAGTTTCAAGTGTCCAGCCTTTTGCAATTGGCCCCAAGTCATCCCCAAGCGAGCCACACGAGGGTCCCAAGAGGCCATCCCCACGAGAGAACTACCACGGCTGAAAGATCCCACGCATTCACCTCGCGATAGCCACGACAGTACCGTGCTGTCCAACAGCACCTCCTGGACGACCCAAGGAAAGCTCTAGAGGGCCCCACAAAACCAGGATGGAACCCAAAGGCTCCTTATGACCCTAACATGGAACTTCACATTCTCCTCCTCCTCCTCCTCCTCCTGCTCCCAAATTGTCCTCGTCGTCATTCTCGTCGTCGTCGTTCTCACGGGGGGGAGCCTGAGACTAGTA